CATATGATGAAAACTCATAATTATTTTTGGGAACATACCTCATTCTTTTGTGAGCCGAATTGTTATACCTCTATTGCAAATATTGTCTTTAGATTTCAAAAAGACGGAGCTATTTTGATCTCATTTCCTCCTTGGTTTCCCACGTCATCTCTTCAACATTATTGTTCCTCCACAACACCATAACTAAGGACACTTCCTTAGTCCTAAGCTTTCGAACTTGTCGATCAAGAATAACAATTGGTATTTCTTCATAAGATAAGGTTTCTGTGATTTGGACATCCTCTATAGGCACAATACTTAAGGGATCTCCCATGCACTTCCGCAACATTGATACATGGAAAATGGAATAGACTGCCTCCAATCTAGAAGGTAACTCCAGCTTGTATGCCACTTTGCCTATCCGTTGAATAATTTTGTATGGATCGATGTACCTTGGTCTAAGTTTCCCTTTCTTACCAAAGCTCATGACACCTTTCATAGGTGTAGCTTTTAGGAAAATCCAATCATCAACTACAAACTCTAAATCACGGCGTCGTATATCTGAATATGATTTCTACCTACTCTGGGCTGTCTGAAATCTCTATCGAATACATTTCACCTTTTCTATTGCTTGGTGAACTACGTCAGGTCCTAGCAACTCAACTTCTCCGACCTTAAACCATCTGATTGACAGTCTTCACTTCCTACCATATAAAGCTTCATAAGGAGCCATTTGAATATTTGCATGGAAAGTGTTATTGTATGTAAAATCAATAAGGGGAAAATGACCATCCCAACTACCTCTAAAATCCAGCACACAAGCTCACAACATATCTTCAATCGTTTTAGTAGTGCGCTCAGTTTGTCCATCTGTTTGTGGATGAAATGTTGTACTGAGATTTACTTGAGTACCCAAACCCCTTTGAAAACATTTCCAAAAGTTAGCTATGAATGGAGCACCTCTATCCGAAATAATGGAAATTGGAACCCCATGAAGTCGGACTATCTCTTTGATGTATAGCTTGGCATAAACTTAAGCCGAGTAAATAGTTCTAATGGGCAGAAAATGGATTGACTTTGTTAGCCTATCGACAATAACCCATATAGAATCATATTTTCGTATAGTGTGGGGAAAACCTATAATGAACTTCATGTTAATAACCTCCTATTTCCACACCGGGAGTTCTATAGTTTGGGTTAATCCTCCCGGCCTATGATGCTCAGTTTTACTTGCTGACAATTCAGACATTAAGACACAAATTCTGTGATGTTCCTTTTTATGTTATTCCACTAATAGACCTCTTTGAGGTCATCATATATCTTTGTTTCCCTAGGGTGAATGGAATATCATGAGTGGTGAACCTCTGTCATTATTCTCTCTCAAAGCCTACCTCATCTAGAACACATAACTAACCTTGAGACATGAGAATCCCATCTTCTGTAAGTCTCAATATTGGTTTCTTCTTTTTGGGATTCCCTCTTTTAATTTTATTAATTTTAGGTCCTCGTGTTGTCGTTGCTTCACCTCTAATACAAGTAGTAATTCCACTGCATTTTGAATTGTAACTCCTTCATCCCCTGAGTCAACTACCCGAACTCGCAAATTATCTAATTGATGGAATTCTATAAAAAATTCTACTTTTCCAAATTCAAGATGCGTTAAGCTACCCATAGACTTGCGGCTGAAAGCATCGGTCACAGTGTTAGCCTTGCCAGGATGGTACAAAATATCAACATCATAGTCTTTAGCAGTTCGAGCCATCTTCTTTACCTTAAATTAAAATCTTTCTACTTAAAGATGTATTAGAGACTCTTGTGATCTTTAAATATATCAATGTGTACCCCATAGAGATAATAACGCCAAATCTTTAAAGCAAATACAATAGCCAACAACTAAAGATCGTGAGTTGGATAATTCTGCTCATTTTTCCTCAGTTACTTGATGCATATGCAATCATTTTGTGTTTTTGCATTAGAATACAACCTAAGTCGATCCTTGAAGCATCACAGTAGAAAACATACCCTTCTGTCCCTTCTGGAAGAGTTAGGACTGGTGCAAAGATGTACGCCTATCTTTCAACTCCTGGAAACTTTGTTCGCACGCTTCTGACCATTGAAGCTTAGTTGCCTTACGCGTTAACCTTGTCAATGGTGCTGCAATGGAGGAAAACCCCTCAAAAAATTGTCGGTAGTAGCTCGCTTGGCCTAAAAAACTACGAACCTCTGTAGGAGTCACGGGCCTTGGCTAACTTTTTATAGCTTCAATTTTTTGATTATCAACTTTAATAACTTCGTCAGAAACTACATGGCCAAGGAAGGCCACTGAATTCAACCAAAACTCACACTTAGGGAATTTTGCGTTTAATTGATGATCTCGAAGTGTCTGCAATAGCGCTCGTAGGTGGTCCGCATGATCTACCTCGGACCGCAAATATATTAGAATATAAACTATAAACACGATAAAAAATATATCTAGGAATGGCTTGAATACTCGATTGATTAAGTTCATGAAAGTTGCTGATGTGTTAAAAGCCCGAACGACATCACCAAAAATTCAAAATGACCATATCTTGTTCTGATGGCTGTGTTTGAAACATCACCACCTCTAACATTCAGTTGGTGATACCATGACCTTCTGTTAATCTTTGAGAAACACTTGGAACTATGCAATTGATCAAACATATCGTCAATTCTTGGAAGTGGGTATTTATTTTTTATTGTGATTTTGTTTAGTTATCTATAATCTATACACATCCGCAATGATCCATATTTCTTACGAACAAATAAAACTGGTGCACCCTACGATGAGGTTCTAGGTCTAATAAAGCCTTCATCCAACAAATCTCTAAATTGTTCCTTCAATTCCCTCAGCTCGGTAGGAGCCATTCTGTATGGAGGAATAGATATTTCCCGAGTGTTAGGAAGTACATCAATAGAAAAATAAAATTTTCTCTCTAGAGGAATGTCGGGAAGATCATCTGGGAATACCTCTGTAAATTCATTAACTATAGCAACTGATTAAAAAGTTGGTAGTCCTTCGTCTGTACTTCCAACTCGAACTAGGTGATAAATGCAACTCTTTGAAATCATCTATTATGCCCTAAGATATGAAATAAACCTACCTTTAGGTGTGGCAATATTACCCTTCCATTCAAGGACTTTCTCACCGGGAAAATTAAACCAGACAACTTTAGTACGACAATTAACATTTTCATGACCTGAGGCTAGCCAATCCATACCTATAATAACATCAAGAGCAACAATATTTAGCTCAAATAGATCAGCCAAAGTATGACAATTGCAAATTATTATTGTACACTTTCGATAAATCTTTTTTTCTACAATTGACTCTCCAATTGGTGTAGATACAACAAGCGGGGTAAGTGATGAATCCACAAATTGGACTCATTTAGGGCTATATTTTAATAAAAAATGTGTCCTCAAATGCTTATTTAGTCTAAATATTTGATGAAAACACTTAAGTTTCAGGTATTTGAAGTTTTAGTGGAAGCATGGACACTTAGGAGCAAAAAGGAACGAAGAGGCTGAAAAGAATGAAGAAGTTGAAGCCTGAGCATCGCCAAGCATGATTGGCGATTCGCCAAAGGGGCGCACTCTGCCCTTTGTTCCAGTACGCGAAGCCCAGAAGGAGAAGGAGAAGGATAAAAAAGACGATGAAAGGAGCAGTCGGCGCTTCGCCGATCAGTTTCGCGAACCAGAAGTATACATCCCAATTAAAGCACAAATGGCGATGAACTAGAAGAAGGGTGAATCGCCGAGTCATTCAGCGTTCGCGACTAACCTCACCGAGGGATCCGCCAGCACTATTTTCTGAAGTCTATAAATACTAAACTCTTTATTAGTTTTGAAAGAGAGAGAGAGGATGGTTTGAACATTATTGTAATTTTTACTTTAGCTTTCATATTTTCTCTCAAGTTTTGGAGAGGGTTTTGAAAACTCAAAGAAGAAGAGGGTTCATCTCTTTCAATTTGAAAGCGGGTTTTTTGGATTCTTCACTCCTTGCCTAAATTGGGACTTAAATCTTCATACCCATTTGATTTCAACATCATTGAAGGTATAAATTTCTATTTCTTGATGTGTGACTAAAACCCCCAATTCTTGGGGTGTGATTTACTGAATATGAGTTAAGATTGTTGTTGGGTCTTGCTTGCTGATAGATTAGATGTAGTTTAATGGGGATTTCGTCTAGTAGTTGTGGTTGAATCTAACAAATTTGTAGTTGAAAATACAAGTTTATTTATGTGTTTACGGCTTGCTCGAGAGAGAGGTCGCGAAACCAAGACTACTAGATTGATGGCCTAAAGAGTGGGTCGACATGAGGTTTAACTCAAGAGAGTGAACCCTAGTCCCATATCCTAACACTAAGCTCGAGAGAGTGAGTGGGGTAAGGCGTAGGCTGGTCTTCATGCGGTAAGTGGGTGTCCGAGAGGAACCCATTTGAAACGGGGTAAGTTGCTCGAGAGAGAATTAATCCCATGTATAGCTTAGCCTAGTCACTATTACTCTATAAATTTTCTATCGAAAGCATGTACCCAATAATTTAGATTAACCCGTATTCCGGTCATATCCCAAGAATCCCTTCTCATTACTTAGAAATCTTTGTTAATTTTATTGTTGTTACTTACTAGTGAAAAAAACCCCTATTGTTTAGTGACATTCTTGTGTTTCCCTTTAACTTACAATGTTTTTAATCGTTAAAATCTTTAGCTATGATTAGCTTTAGCGCATTTGCGCTTAACCACTAATTTTCACGCCCACTCCCTTGGGACTCGACCCCAACCCTTGGTTGGGTTAGTATATTATTGCACGATCATAGATACTTGCATCGGAAGTTATGTCATTGATTATGCAAACATCAAAATGGCGCCGCTGCCGGGGAGTGGTGTTACGTGACAGTTTTTGGTTTAAGTCAAATTCTGCTTTCAATAATCATAGTTTACTAATCTTAGTTTTAGTTTTGTTTTTCTTTAAATTTGTTGGTGTAGGTAGGTTCCCTGAGCATGGCTGAGGGAAATGGTGGAAACCCTGCTGAGATGAAGCAAGAAGTCGAGAGGTACTTCATATTACCCGCACTGGTAACTCAGCTGCACGAGTTGGCCACCAAAATAACAGAGGTGGAAAACTAGTGCAAGAGTCAAGGGAGGTACATACCTCCCCACGAGAGGAATCAATCTAGATGCAAGTATACAACTGTGTCGAGGACACACTCCAAATCATTCTCCAAAAGATCACCGAACAAGATCAAATGTTGGAAGAGATGAAGGAGAGTATTGAAGTGTTGAATCAAATGGTTGGCTCTCATTCTAGATCGATCCAGCTGATCAGGACACTCCTAAATTATGCGGTGCCTCCAGTTTACTCAAACGAACTACTAGGGTTACCTAGTAACACTAGGGCCAACCCAACCAATGGGGAGTGAGTAAGGACTCGCGTCGAGCCACGACGTTAAATAAGGAGCTTCTTGGGAGGCAACCCAAGGTTTTAAACGCTTAAAGTTGCTTTTATAAATAATGGTGTGTTAGTGGTGCAAGTTTGAATGAGGAAAGTGCTGAAAAATACAGATTGGCGAGAAAATGGTCAGTCGGCAGACCGCCGAACAGTTTGGCATGCCCGACCTGACCCGCCTTTTGGCTCAACTCAAGTTTAAATTAGAGCCTATATAATTCGGCGACCTTGAGAAGCAGTTCGGCGCATCGCCGACCAGGTCGGTGATCTCAACTTAGACCGCCATCTTGATCCCAAGAAATTGACTAGTCTGTAACAATCGGCGGGACAAGGGACTACTCGGAGAATCGCCGAGTGGATTGGCGATTGCAACTAACGTCGCCGAATGAGCGCGAACTGGATGGTTATAATGGCCAAAAGACTCAAAACTTCAACTTCTTCACTTTCCCTCGCTCACAAATCTCCGAAACTCGCACTAAGGTAGCATCTTCTTCAGCTTAGTATTACTTTAGTTTGGGACTTGTGCTCGGAATTGGAATACTTTGCCGCCTAGCTTTTCAAAACTGATTTAATCAACATTGAAAGTTGGTTTCCTTTTCCCATATTTAGATTTCAAAGTTTTGTACTCATTTGCAATAATTGTCTCTTAGTGATGTGTGTTGGGCCTCTCTGATAGGATTAGAATGATTACATGTCTATTTTAATTCAAAAATTTTGCCTGTGTTGTCTGAATGTTGCATGCTCGTAATCTTTGTCTGTTTAATGAGTTGGGTCATGATTGCATGTTGTTTTGATTGATTGGGTGAACTCTGAGTAGCCCATATTTAAGCTAAATGTTGAAAATCAATGATAGAGAGGGTGACACCGCTCTTAAGAGCAAATATAGTCAATTGGCCAAATGCGGCAAGTCTGGGAGAAATCTGAGTATTCCAGGGTGATGGGTAGTATGGGTCTTGTTCAAATTTTGTTAGTGCATGCTTTGATTTTGCTTTTGGGGTTTGTGGGATTGAATTAGAAAAGATGGATTGAAAATGGGCACGTTGGACCATTTGGCGAGTTGGGTCAAACTCACAGAATCGTTCGGCGGTTCCCCCAATGTCTCCATCTCGCCCTCTGTATGCTACCCCTAAGACCTTATGCACTGTAACTTTCAGCGGACAAATCCTTACTCGTCGAAAGCAGTCAGCGATTCGCCGAAAGGACTCTTTTAACGCCGAATTGGCTTAATTGTTTAGCCAACCTATTGGCAAGCCCGATTTAGTTCACCGAATTGGCTCGATGACTCGCCGACTTGATCGGTGAGTCTATCTGCAGAGAAAGTCACCGTGCCTGAATTTAAGTTGTTTTCTTATCCTTTCTCGATCTCTTACAGATATGGTACGCACAAATTTAACCGAGCAACCACAGTAAAAGGCTAAAGACATTACGATCAATGAAGGAGGATCAAACCCTCCAAAGAGAAAAATGGATGACCTCCAACCAAGAGATAAAGGCAAACGAAAAAAGCACATAGCAAGGAAGGGCACAAATATTGAACCAGCTTTTTCTGAGCGGGAGGATGAGCAACCTTTGATGAATTAAAGGAATGAACTCAGGGATAGAGCTCAGCCCACATCTACGGAAACCCCTTTAGCTACCACTCCCCCGACTATTGAATCAGTGCCAACTCCAGCACCACCTCCAGTAGCCCCTGCACTCCCCGTTGCTCCACCTCCACCCAAGTTGCTGAACAAATTAAAAGGGAATGGTTTACGAACCATTTTAGAAGAAAAGTTACTATCTGTGGAAGGCTTGGAAGGCAAGCATGCTGCGGTGCTTGACACACTCAGATATCATGAATTGGAGCAGTTCACTAGGCCACAGAGCCCTTACATTCCTTCATGGGTCCAGGAATTCTACTTACCCTATGGAGAGTTGGTCCCAAAGAATAAGACGAAAGCTAGTGAGTTCTAACCGGTGAAGTCGGTTATGGTTAGAGGCAAGGAGGTAGAGCGTCACAACAATCATATTAATATTATATTGGGTCGACCATTGCACTCGGTACTGCCCTACCAGAGTTTGCCTATTGTTCCATCCCTGGATGATTTGAAGGGTTGGTTAGCTCCTATGATCTTTAACACCACTCCGAGGTGGATCGAGGCAGGAGCTCCAATCGGCTTGCCTTGGTTCTATAATGGCTAGGAGTCGGATCGACTTGGGTCTGTTGATTTCATAGGAGATGGCTATGAGAGCCAAACAGATGCAGAACTCTCTGCATTTTCCTGTTATGATCATCAAGTTATTCCATTGTACTTGAGGACCCCGGGATACTGCTAGCAATATAGAGGTCACCCCATCTTCCTCCACCGATATCCGTCATATAGAGGCCGAGTTCACACGAGAGGAGGTTGACAGGAGGAGAGAAGCTCCAGTAGATACTTTTCCAGAGGTCGATGTTGACTCATTACCAGCAGAGGCACCTTCGTTTACTCCAACTTTGGAGCTTTCAGGTATACCCGCTCCTTCTTCTCCTTCACAGACTCCAGGTGCCTCCTCTTCCTCCCAGCCTACCAGGATCACTCATGCCATGATCCTGAAGATGGGGCAGCTGGCCTATTCAGCAGATGTGGGGGTGTCACGATTGGAGAGATCTATCCCAGGGATGATTGAGAATGCCATCTTGATTGCACTAACCCCCCTCAGGAACACTGTTGATGATCTGACTGCTAGAGTCACTGCTTGCGAGAGCAGACATGGGGAGACACCCGAGGTTTCAACATTAAAAGCTGAAATAACAGAGTTGAAGAAGGACGTAGCCTATTTGAAGGCTACCGACTTCACTACACTAATGCAGGGAGTAGATGAAAAGGATACTCCTGAGACCTCGAGAATTCCTCCGGCTACTACCGGAGATGTGCAGAGGGATGATGCATGGAATGGAGAGTCAGAGACAGAGACCAACGAGGAGCGGATAGCAGTGCGCGATGAGGTAGTGCGCGAGAGCCATGATGACAGCATATTTAGAGACTTGCCGAATCTTGTGGAGATGGTTGTTCAGTCGGCAACTTAGAAAGTGCCAGCTGAGACGTCCACAATAGCTCCTAGTGGATCTGGCGTTATTAGTTCGTCTGAGGCTATTCCAGGTACTGAGACCCGTGAGCATATTGATGCATCGGGCACTGATGCTCATATTCAGGCCCCGATAGATAGAGAGACTTCATAGACAAGACTTCTTTTTACCTCTGTCTCTGTCTTATTTATTTTTACACAATTTTATTTGCATTTGAGGACAAACACTTTTTATTGTGGTGGGGTGAGGCCCACACCTTTTGTCTTGATAGTTATGTTCTGTGTATCTATTTGGGTTGTTCTACTTTAAAATTGTGTTTTATCTGTTTCTATGGATGATTGAGCTTACGACTCCTTTTGTTTTAAATGGCAAAAACAAAAACAATTTTGACCCTTCCGATCCAATTTTTTTTAATGTTTCGCACATTTTCGCCATCCTTTATATGCTCTTGAATATGGATGTTCTTTGCAAAATTTAAGTCTCGGTTTCGATCAATATCGATGACTTGAATAGTACTCTCAATTGAACGAACATGAATGCGTGGCTACGACGAGGCCAAATGAAGTTGCATAGACAATATGTGAACTCCTTGCATCTCGTTGTGATTAGCCATTTATCAAATTGAGTCTCTTGTGATGACCATTGCACACCAGCGAAAGTGTGGAGTCTTGTTTGACTTTAGTGTCGATGCCTTGTGTGATGAGCTTACTTTGAACCATGCATAATAGATCCTAGAATTTGCCCCGTTGGTCCAGTCAACTAAGTGATGTGATCTATTGATATGATCTTAGGCAAATTCTAAGGGTGTGAGCCAATTTGATATATACCTCTTTTGTGACCCAGCCTGTGAGCGCGTGATTCTCTTTTGAACACCCCTTGAGCCTTACCTTTCTTTGGAAGAAACTTGATGAAAACTAGACCTATCTTAATCCACTACCTATAATCCTCTTGAATTGTGGTTAGGTGAATAGCCAACTTAGGCCAAAAGCCTAAAGTTGGGGGTGTGGTGAAAAAGAAAAAAGGGAAGTTAAGAAGTGCAAGGAAAGTCTCCTCTTACCCATGGTTTTAAGGAAAATGGAACCCCTCCAAATAAAAAAAAAGAAAAAAGAATGAAAAAGAAAGCTGTGGAATAAAAGTACAAAAGAAATGGGGTTCCCAAACAATCCATGGAAAGTGAATAATAGGATGACTTATGAGCACTAAAGAGAATTATGAAGGAAAAGGAAAGGAAATGCTGTGAGCACCACATTTCATGAGGATGAAAGTCACCGAGCCTAAATGACTATACCTTTGCACTCAGCCCCGTTACAAGTCTTAAAAAGACCTTTTTGATCTTGAGTGAGCTAAAACAAATGTTGATCGGAAAATACAGGCAAACCTATGGGTGAAAGCATGCATTGTGTTCTTCTTTGTGAGAGTGAGCGTTGCATCTGATTCCGAAACTTTAAACTGTGAACCATTGTGTGATTATGGAATCATTCTTTCTGTGAGGGCATTCGAACACTTTAGTTGAGCTTGAACTTGCATTTGAAGCAAGTATTGTGATCATGAG